TGAGATGTAGATATTTGTAATTTCTGCCTTGCTTTGTGCTTAAAGGCTTCTACCGTTTGTTGTAATTGTCATGTCGTATAGCATCAGGTCGTTTATTTGGTATAACTCCTGCTGTATATTATTATCATTTTCTGCTCTCCTGGTCAGCTGTTGTGTAGCTATATGAAATTCATGCTAATTCTTAGGATTCATTCTCCTTCTCTTCCTAGGTTTCTTGGCCTCGTAAGTTTCTAACTAAGTTGACTATCCTTATCTAGGAAATATAGGAATTTCTTTTAACGAGAAGAATATAATTTCCTAAGGACACCTCCATATTATGCTCGTTTGTGGGACTTTTATTAGGTTTTTTCCTGGGCTTAAAAGTGACTCTTAGTGAGCAAACTTGGTGGAGACTAAAGAGTTCTGGCACCGGTTGCCCAGTGTCAGCTGGTGTACTCGTATATCTAGTATTCTCGCTTTTTCATAAAATTAGGTGTCTTGAGTAATTATGATCTTGAACTTTTTATTTTGTGTGGGAGTGTCCGTGCATGTTGTGCAAAATATTCTCCGGATTTCTGCAGCTACTAGGATCTTAGTTGCCATTGCAGAAGCCATGAAAGGACATATTGTTATGAAGTGCTGCAGTAACAAAACCCTTGGATTTCCGTTCACGGCTTCTTTAAGGTGTGGAATCCGACCTAACTTTATTTCTACCAGCAGCAAAATCTTAGTTTGATTATATCTATTTGATTTTGTTAATGATCTTAGTCTGTTGCTAACATATTAGAATGCACTTTTGTCTTGGTAGCCTATATTCAGTTTCATTCCATAAATGCTTTGTTATGATTAGCAATGCAATGTTATACATAGTAGAGAGTAAGTATCCAAACACCTTTACAAGCAAATGTTGTAGAAAAGGAAGCTTGGGTTTGCTTCAAATTTCTATATTTGTTCCATATGGACATATTTAGCACTTGCTTTCCGTGACGAACTTATGGTGTGGAATAACTATAAATTCTTGATACTTGTTGGAGTGGTCGTGAACTTTTGAAATCATTTATATAGCTTCACACTGAAACAATGGTAAATGCCAAATCAAAAGGATTACATACACTTATAGATCTGTATTATCGAAGTCATATATTATGTAAACTCATGTGGACAGTAAATAGACTTCAACCTTGTATAGGAGGAATTTTTCTAAGAGCATTTGCTCCATATACAGATAGTAGAGAAAATAATGATATATACTTGGTTTTGAGCCTAACAACGACAAGCTAACATGAATAATTAGCAGAAATACCTGCTTCTTTAGACTTATTCTCAGATACTCCTAACAGAAATAATTTATGGCAAACATTTTCTTAAATAAGTGGCCAGGTTATGACGAATGAAAATATTTTGGTTAGATAAGCAGCCATCAGATTGGTAATGAATGGTATCAATGAATAACAGACCAATTCCTTCAGTTAGGGTACTGTTCTTGAGCAAATTTTTGATCTGAGTAACGAAGTTGAGCCAAATTAGGGTTTTGTCCTCGAGCAAAGTTATTGAACCAAAAAGCGAAGTTGAGCCATACAAACACCAGGAATTTTATATAGGTTAACAGATATGATTGTAGCTCTTTATCCTCGCTTACTAGATTGTAAAGAAAAAGCTTTCATGCTAGTGAACATTTTTGACCTTGGCTCTTTATTACATTAGAAAGTTTATAGCAAAATATTGTTTTTGCCAACTCTAATTCAGGGCCTGTTCGATACAGCTTAAAATTCAATTAAAATTGAAAATATAGCCGTTATTGGGTCCCACTTGTCTAATAAAAGTCAACAATAACGATTAGTTTTTCAATTTTAATCTGATTTTAATCTCTACCGAACACACCCTCAATATTCAGTAAATAGGTAATCTAGACAAGAATGGATGTGTAATACTTCAATGTCTGTGGTAGAGGCTTAAAGGTTTACGCATCTATAGGAGTGACACAGCAAAGAAAAGAGATATATATTTATTTTGGATTTCGTCTTTGGTTCTAATGTATGAATTATTTTAAAAATACCAACAATCTAAGTTATTCTCACCAAATTTGAGGTGAATTACAAGAATCACTTTTCATCATTGCATTCACTTTATCATGAGATTATATGATGCAAATTGTGAATTATTTAAAAAATAAAATATCGTGGGGAGAAAAAATGAGTTTAAAATATATTCATAATTCTCGTGAGAAGAAAAAATGAGTTTTTGACTGCTTTTACAATTTGTTCCCTGTTAGGAGCTTATGTGTAAAATGTGAACATAGCAGGTGTAGGTCACAAGGTAGATACCGAACAAATCTACATGTGCAACTGGCTATGGAAACTGGTGTAAAAGTGAATCAAGAAACGGATTACATTACAACTTATTGACATACTATATTTACCCTGGGCATTTCATCTTTAGATATTGGCTATTTAGGTAACCAGATAATTTCTTGCTTTCATCATGTACATGCGTTTCTTTCCCTAGATTGAAATGGCAAAAATATAAAGGTATCCAGTCTTCCTATAACCTAAGCAAAATATGTTTTACCAGCTACAGATGATTTATTTTAAAATGGTTTGAAGCCATCTTCATTACTGCTTGTGGTTTATAGCATCGATATGAACGCTTCGCGATTCATCTCTTTTGTAGGATGCGAAGTTATTGATTAAACAGGCTTGATTTGTGGTATTGGGCGGAGAAAATTAGGCTTTGTTTGTGGTGTCGGGCTGTGAAAAATTGGCGACACGTGGCATTAGGCTTAGTTTTATAAAAGTCGCTAGAGTATCCTCCAATTCATTACTTGTAGCTACCTTTCAGATACCGGAGTTGGTTGGCTTCCTTATGCTATTTCTGGTTTGCTTGTTTACTGATTTGAGTTACTCTTAATGTTAATAAATTTGCAATATATTAGCTCGAAATCTTTATATCTGTCATGATTGTAAAGATTGTTAGAGAAACATCGCGTCGGGTTTTGTTTATTGAGTTTTTTTCCTTCAATAATTTTTCTTGATTTAATCCCTGGGTAAATTCTGTTATCAGGATTTTCCCTAGTCTCAAATTTGGATCTTCTTATGGATGCTAAACCAGTTATAGTCAGCCTGGGGGCGCTGCTTGCTTACCATTCAATTGACAGGGCTCTTTATGCTATCCTCGTGACAGAACTTTGGCGTGATCCCGTGGAATCGTTGCAGATTATTGCCTTATGGCTTTGGTTAGAGCATGTGGGTTTTGGCAAGGTCATAAGGAAGATCTTGGCATCTGCTTCATTGTTCATCAATCAAACTGCTGAAGAGGCTATTATGTGCATCAAGTGCATAAAGGATTCCCAGTTCACACATTCAGCTGAAGCCACCGATATTCCTATGACATGTAGCATCATCGAGAAAGAGAGATCACTTCGGTTTTTTAATGAGGATCGTGTGACTGCCTACCGTGAAATAGACAGAATCATTAATCAAGATTGCCTCCACACTATGCGAGACATCACTGAAAAAGCCCTTCATGGTAATTCTGGAGAAAGTTCATCAAGAAACTGGTTATTAAGTCCACTAAATGCTGCTCAGAGTTCTACATCAAATTCTACCCTGATGCCATTTAATGGTGGGCAAAGTTCACGATTAAACCAGATGATGGTTTCATCCAATGCTAAAAGTGCAGAAGGTTCATATAGAAACCAGATGATTCTCTTTAATGCTTCTCGACACTCTTTATCAAATCCCATTGTGATGCCATTCAATGGTGGGCCAAGATATAACCAGATGATGATTCCATTGAATGCTAATGCTGCAGAAAGTTCATCTAGAAATCAGATAATGATACCATTAAAATATATTCATAAATCTCATGAGAAGAAAAAATGAGTTTTTGACTGCTTTCACAATTTGTTCCCTGTTAGGTGCTTACAATTCAATTGACAGGGCTCTTTATGCTATCCTTGTGACAGAACTTTGGCGTGATCCTGTGGAATCGTTGCAGATTATTGCCTTATGGCTTTGGTTAGGGCAAGTGGGTTTTGGCAAGGTCATAAGGAAGATCTTGGCATCTGCTTCGTTGTTCATCAATCAAACTGCTGAAGAGGCTATTATGTGCATCAAGTGCATAAAGGATTCCCAGTTCATACATTCAGCTGAAGCCTCCAATATTCCTATGACTCGTAGCATCATCGAGAAAGAGAGATCACTTCGATTTTTTAATGAGAATCGTGTGACTGATACCGTGAAATAGACACAATCATTAATCAAGATTGCCTCCACACAATGCGAGACATCACTGAAAAAGCCCTTCATGGTAATTCTGGTGAAAGTTCAACTAGAAACTGGTTATTAAATCCATTAAATGCTGCTCAGAGTTTTGCATCAAATTCTACTCTGATGCCATT